AATTTGTAATTTCAGAACAATAACTACTGTCAAAATGTAACCTGCGATGGAGTACTATAACACATGACATTAATCTGACATGTCAATTGTAGATTGATATTTCGATACGCTAAGTATTCTTATTTCATTCGTGAACGGTATCTTGTCACACAATAAGTGAATTTGTTTTGAATTTTTAAGGAATGAAGTATACAATGGTCCTTTAATGCTTGAAAGAATAAAAAAAATATATAAAGAGCGAAGGATCTATTAAGCTAAGTTTTAGGCAACATGCACACAGAGTACATTTAACCGAAGCTATGGACTATGTAAACACAATCCACTACTCGTCCTTCAAGATCAAATAACCTTATAATATTAACATTGTTTTTATCATTGCAGGTAAAAAAGGGAACATATTTAATTCCAAGGAGTCCCTGAAGAATTGATGGCGATTTTATACAAATTTGTTATTTTATTTATAATGGTTCATGAATATTAAAATATAACATATCTCATTTCACTGTTTTTTTTCATGCAAGTTCTGTCATTGGAAGTATGTAAATACATATAAAGGAAATATACCATGGAGTTCATATTTAATGGTTCGTCAAAGAAAAATCATGACAAAACAAAAGATTAAATGACAAATAAAAGCCCACAAAACATTCCATAGCAAAACCGTTAGTTCAGTTGAAAAAAATTAACGGGTTAAGTATACTGTGGATTCATTTATTTTTGTTGATTCAGGAAAATTTATATCTTCGTGGAAATTTGATTTCGTGGTTTAGGCAAATTCTCAATACAAGAGTATATAATTTGAATTTCAAATTGGTATTCGACGAATATTAATGAATTCATAGTACTGCAGGTTATTCCCGAATATTGTTACAAAAATATAAATAATACATATGTAGGTGTAGGTCAAAAGTATATAGTGGGAAATTTAGTGACAAAATATTACCTTCCCTACAAACACTGAAAACTTGGTCTTTTCAATATTTCATGAGAAAACGTTCTGATAAATAGTAAAAAAACAAAAAACCAAACAAACGAAATAAAATGAGTTTCAATTCAATGTTATCATTTTCCTCCTAAAATAGCAAACGAAGAGTACAGCAGGCTATATGCTTGGTTTAAAATGTTTAAAATGTTGTTTTGCGAATAAATTATTTTTCTATTGGCTGCATATCTCTTTGGAACAAATATGCAGCAAAGATTAACACTTTTGAAATTAATGTACTAAAGAAATATAAACACACCTTGTTCCGATGTAAAAATTGTATGTAAAATGATCGAGAAGACCGGAAATACATGTACAAAAATCGAGACGACCTTTTCATAAAAAGGTTTGAAAAAAAGTAAAAATCTTTTTATTGAATAACCTACCTAATGAAAATATTTTATCTTTAATTTTTGAACCTGCACAGACAGAATTTTATATTCACGAAAAGACAATATTTCTTTATTGAATGTTCACGTGATAAGAGCAGACCGGTGTACTCGAAAACTTAGATGTAAAAAATAGGTATATTTTGGAAATTGTAACATGCGAAGGACTATATGGAACCCTCCGTAAATTGTTGACCTGAAAGATCTTTAAATTTTGTACATGCTGTTTTTCAGTTATGTGTTATCAATATGCATCAAAAATTAACATTTTTTAGATTTCAGTTTCACAAGCTTCTAATGTAATTATCTCGACAAATACTGAATGTAAAACATCGTTCGTTTGCATGCATATTTCTAATGACACAGTTTAAAAAAAATGTTTTAAAATGTTCGATAGTTATTTAGAAAAAACTTTGCCATGTTTTATTATCGATTTTCTCTATTTTTGCATACAAAGAGTGAATTTATTACTGTTCTCGGTTATAAGATTTTCCACTGTGTATAGCAGACCTAAATGCAGGGAGTTTTTGAATTATTGAGTGTTTTTATTGTACTAAGGATGTGTGATTGACCCCTTGGTATCGTCTGTTTATTTCACTTAGATCATTTAAGTTGATTTTATTTTTCATAAAAGACAGAATATAAAAGAAAAACAAGAACAAGATTAGTGTGAAATACTATTTATGCTGTTTTATTGCTGTAGGTAGAATGATAATATAATGAGAATATAAGTTCCGTTATAGATAATGCGTAAAAACTGACCGTAGGGAGGTCTTTCGTTGGGCACCCGAAGGTGAGTTATTCGACACGAAAAATCTCAACATATGCATTATCTCACCGATATACCGTAAAAAATTACTCAGTAAAAAAAAGTAATCAGTTTTACTGTGCGTATTGCTTTCTGATGGTTTATTCAACATTGGCTAAAGGTATTGGGGATAGTTGAGATCTCGAAAACATGTTTATCCCCGCCGCATTTTTGCACCTTTTCCAAGTCAGGAACCTTTGGCCTTTTTAGTCTATTGTGCCTTTTTAAAAATTTTGGTTCATTTGTATATTTTGGAGTTAAGTTTGGCGTCCATTTCGTTGAACTAGTATACAGTATTGGTTAGGGGCTACCTGAAGCCCGCCTCCGGTTGCTGGTTTCTCGCTGCATTTAAGACCCATTGGTGGCCTTGGGCTGTTTTCTGCTCTTTAGTCGGGTTGTAATCTCTTTGACACATTTCCCGTTTCTATTTTCTATTCTATTAACATACCCTCTGTTTTAAGACTAGGTAAAAGAGAGGCGAAAGATACCAAAGGGACAATCAAACTCGTAAGTCGAACTGGCAACGCCATAGCAAAAAAAAAAATAAAGAAGAAAAAGACCATAATACGAACAACAGTATACAAAACACAACATAGAAAACTTAAGAATGAGCAACACGAACCCCACCAAAAACCGGGGGTGATCTCAAGTGCTTCGGAGGGTTAAGGAAATCCTGCTCCACATGTGAAGTAGCTCCTGTATGAATCATCCGCTTAGTAATAGGTAAGTTACATCTTTATTGAATACAAATACATTGCTTAAAAAATATGAAGTAATATATTTGAACCTGATTAATGAAAATAAGAAGATATGGTATGATTGCGACACATCTATCCACCAAAAGACGAGAATTTAAACATTTTTAAAGCTTTTTAAACTACAATTCTAACAAATATTGTGATAACCATGTTCTCAATGTGAATTTATGCGTAGGATGGTACAACGACCTTAAATTAAAAAACTTAAACATTCAAATGCAAATGGATTATTGTATACAACACGAAAAATGTATCAAATGTTGTTTTCTAACTATTTAAAATAAGATAAAGGATGGCGTATGGTGAGAGCCATGATTTGACTCTGAAATGGCAAAAAAATTGATTGTTTGCTATATTAATACTTGCTTTATGTCAATTGGCAAATATTTTATGCATGTTCAGGACGAGAATAGATAGATGAGAAGCAAAGGTGGTTTATCGATGTTCAAATCTTGTAAATCGATTTAAAATATACAAATTCAAATAAGATAAACTAGAAAATAAATTCTACACAAAGCGATATTGGTCTGGTCGATAGTGGAGGCGTCTCCTGTGTACATACGTTACTTGCAATACCATCGAGTCAAATGACATAATAGACACACTAAGGTCAATTTACAGATCAAACCACTTTATATAAAGTTCTTAGACCGCAAAACTGTTTCATTTGGTAATTCAGACAATGACGCATCATATCGGCCAACCAATTCGTAATGATGACCATAAATCTGTAGCGTCTATTGCAGTCGATCTTTCTTTTATCTTAGTTGGACAGGTTTTTATGTCAGTAGTATACTCCTGTTACTGAAGTCAGTACAATATGAACACGCACGTTCGTTCCATATCGATTCAAGTGTAGACGCAGTTCAATATGACTGCTGAGGAACTGAAAGATGACAGAACGAATGCTGAAATCGTTATAATGCAAGAACAGATTTGAAAAGTATAGGTACTGATATCTGACATATAATTTTGATTCACATGTCAAGGATGATAATTTATAGATTTTGTTTTATACCTTATGGAAATGTGAAAAAGGTAAAAACCCTTACCCTAATAATGCATGCAGTGTCAGAATTTGAAAAATAATGTACACACACGAACCTAAACGAACTTTTATGTCTGAAATAAAAATAGATAACTTTCTTCTTGAATACACATTTGTTTACCATGTACTTAATGTTTTTTCAAAGAACATAATGAGTAAAAGCAAACTTCTGCAATCGCAACATTCGCAACGGTATCAAAAGAAGTTTGAGTTTTAAATTATACAGTACTGAAAGTCATACATGTTATTTATAATACGAAACAACTTAATAATAAACCTAAGGAATAGACAATTGAAAAGGGCAATTAAACTTCATCTCGAGAGAAAATATGTTCAAACAAATACAACACAATGCAAAACATATGGGACTTTCCCCAATACTCTATAAAACCATACATAGGAACACCACATATTACTAATAAGTAACAATCTTCTACAAAAAAAGTAGGATTACATCGGATAAAACAATAATGCTTCTATAAAATTGTAAATAAACATTTCATTACATTAATTTGTATTATTGTGGTTAACCCTGTTTAAACACATCTTCTATCACAAAAGTAAATACTTGTAAAATGTCTATTTTATAACGGATTATAATGAAATATTTGGTCAATGATTATGGTATATATAGGACATCAATTATCAAATCAGCACTCTGAGTAAGCCATTATACCACGGTAAGTTGTAGCATTCATGTGCATCTCTCAAATTACTATGAACGCATATTTGGTATGCTTCATTTAATTGTTCTGGCTACGATAATTGTTTAATTGAAATCAAAAGAAAAGAAAAAAAAGAAAGAAAACAACGTTTAAAATCGATCAAATGAACGTTTGAATTAACAAAATGTTCATCTTTCAGTTACACTTTTTAATGCATTCAGTATTTTTTTGTTTTGTATATGTTTGTTGCTGTTTTTCATTTCCGTAAAATTTCATGTTCTTCAAAGACATTGAAGTATAACAAACATGTAAAGTTTATTGAAAAGTTAAGGATTATACTTTTAGAACCTACCAACCATGACACTTAAAGCTTTTCTGTGCTTGTCGCTCGTCGGACTAGTATTTGCAGAGGCTGGTAAAAAAGGATACAGTCCAAAGTATAACCTAAAAGCATATGGGAATCCTTTAGGACCCTTTTTTGGTGGAAATGGATATCAAGGAAATATCGGCTCTGGATATCCGTTGTATGGTTTATCTGGATATGGACACGGTGGTTATGCTAATAACTTTTATGGTTTAGGCTCACCATTACACTTTGGCAGTTATGTAGGGTACAACAACTATGGTACTCAAAGTGGATTTCCTGGATACGGGCTCATGAATGGAAGAAATTTAAATGTTTTAAATGGTTACGGAAATTACGGTGTTCATGGTAATGGAAATATGCCTTTCAAGGGATATGGATTCGGTCGCGGACTTGGTGGATATAGAGGATATAATAATCTAATTAGTTCTGGAGAATATGGTATTGGTGGTATAAATGGTTATGGCTCATATGGTATTGGTGGCATAAATGGTTATGGCTCATATGGTATTGGTGGCATAAATGGTTATGGGTCATATGGTATTGGAGGTTTAAATCGTTATGGAGTATATGGTATGGGTGGTTTGAATGGTTATGGATCACATGGTATAGGTGGTATTGGTGGGTTTAAAAACGGAAGATACGGGTACAGTGGTGTTGGTGGTTTCGGTAAATTTGGAGGTAAGTTATCTCAAATCATTCAATGGAAAAAATAGTTCCTATTTAATGGTGACAGTTTGATAAAACTAAATAAATTGAAGACTATCAAAAGATAGTTACCAACATGGGATTTTTATTTTCTTTAAGATTCCTCTTAAATATCTGCGACCTGTCAAAGGGGCCAAACAGTCTTATTATTGGGAGTCAAATGATTAGAATATCAGCTGTTCAATAAACATCCAGCATAAATAAGAAAGACGTACCAATAGTTAACAGAGTACATCGACAAAGTATATTATTTTTGCGATTCTTCGTTTTCAAAACTATTTGATTTTGGGTAAGGCGGGTACTTATATCTATAATTACTTTTTGTAAACATAAAAATGACATTAAAAATTGAAAAAAATAATTTAAAGTGATAAGCTATATAATCTGAATACTAACTGGAAAAAAATGAACATAATATCAAAAGGATATTTTTTCTATGTTTGCAATGTCAGGGGTCAAATTATAGCTATTATAATATCTCCTCATTTCAATTTGATTTTCTGAGAATTCATGAAATGTTCAGAAAATAAAAAAATAACAAATAATATTTAGAATAAAAATACCCTGCTGAATAAACGTACCGATACGGATGTACGGTGAATAAGAAAAGATGTATATATATATATCAAGTAATTTAAACTTGATCTTTAAGCAATATGAAATCCAATCACAATAGCAAATTAATGAATATGTATACCAAATTATAAAAAAGATTCTATAAATAAACTTTGTTATTTTAATTGCAGGTAAAAAAGGAACATATTAGAATTCCATGAGTCATTGAGGAAAAGTTGGTGATTTTATACACATTTGTTTGAGTTATATGTACATGTATTGATATGATTTATACTTATTAAACTAAATATAAAATAAGTTTGAGCATTTGTCTTATTTACCGTGTGATATTATAAGCCTTTTATTTGCAACATGATACAGAGGCGGTCATATCAAATCATAGGCCGTTGAAGGACAGTCGACACCACAGGAAAACTACAAAGACGCAAATATCAATTAAGCTTTCAAAAGATTCTAAGGTAAACTAAAGATTGAATAGCTTGAGGCGAAGTATACATAGTTAACTACTCCACAGATTTGTTTTAAAATTTCACATATGGAATCTGCTTGTAATAGTACATCAGAAAAATGGATCGATTGATAAAAAGAAAGTCCTTAGCCGGTGCTTGTTTTCAATCTATATCCTATGCAGTTTAATTTTTAGCGGGAACAAAAAAATCACAGCGACGTTATGGATGTCTACATTGACGTTGCCACAACTTCTATGCTATATAATATATATTATAAGTAACGATATTGCACTGTTGTGCTATGCCGTATGAAAAGCGTGAGTATGTATCAGCCATTTACAAATTATTACAAATGCTAATCTAGAACATATACTATTCAATGATTAAAATATGCTGACTAATGTTCAATGATGCAAATAAGCATAACTAATGTACTGGAGTGAAGAAAAAAAAAGTTACAATCGGCTTTCAAAAGTGAATTTCATTTATCATTATACTTCCATCTTTTCTGAATTAAACAGTTATCTGCACCTTTGTTTGTAATGCTTGTATTGTCCTAGTTTTTATAATCAAATATTTAAAGTGAATGATCGAGTTTGATTTCGTTCCGGTTAACACACCGTTGACAGAATAACAAACCTTCATATTTTAATTAGTTATAACATTTCTTTAATTCACAAAATTAATAGATATAAGAAGATGTGGTATGAGTGCCAATGTGACAACTCTCCCTCTAGGTTAAAATTTATAAAAGTAAACCATTATAGGTCAGAGTACGGTCTTCATCACGAAGCCTTGGCTCACACCGAACAGCAAGCTATAAAGAGCCCCAAAAATTACTAGTGTAAAACCATTCAAATGGGAAAACCAACGGTCTAATCTATATAAACTAGAAACGAGAAACACTTATGAACCACATCAACAAACGACAACTACTGAACATCAGATTTCTGACTTAGGACAGGTGCAAACAATTGCGGGTTTACAAGTTTTAATGGTACCAAACCTTCACCCTTATCTGAAACAATAGTGTAACATCACAAAATAGAAAGACACACTATAAAATCAATTGAAATAAGAGTCTTTTTATCCTCACCATTACCAGTTCTATAAATTCGAGATATTGATCGCAATCTAGTCTACACCTAAACCTGACTGGTTCACACACATGCACGGGACACAACTCAGTAATTGTATTTCACAAAATTTCCTGTCTCGATCGCTTGGTCTTTTCTTTAGCTACGTATACATGGCAAAGCACGATATAATGGCTGAACGGATTTGTAGTACCAAACAAAAATATTTATTGAAACATTATGTGTTCAGTATCCACAAGGATTCATATAGTACTATATAAATCCTCGGTATCCACATGCACGGGTGAAAAACTGCATACTATTTTAAAATTGTGTATGGCTGTGATAAGGTCAAATAAAGGTAACAGTAGTATACCGCTGTTCAAAAGTCATAAATCGATTGAGACAAAAACAAATCCGGGTTACAAACTTAAACCGAGGGAAACACATCAACTATACGAGGAAAACAACAAAACAACATAAAAACTGAAGTGAACAAATAACAAACGACAATGCAACACACAGAGAAACGAACTATAAGATAACAATTATAAGATAACACCTGACTTGGTACAGGACATTTGAAGATAAAAATGGTGTTTTGAACCTGGTTTTGTGGCTAGCCAAACCTTGCACTTTTATGACAATGTTAAATATAACACTAGAATGACACCATTACATGAAGGAATACAGTACAAATAAATGCAAGAACATTCAGGACAGAGAAATACACAAATAAACAATACAATAGTACATTTCGACATGCTTACCACAGAATAAAAACGAACACGTAAAACAACATAGGACAGCACACAAAACAGCACAACAGAACCACGAACTGTCTTTCACACGACTGGGTCAACGCCACAAAAGTGACGTCACAGGTAAATTTCTAAAACAATTTTGATACTGTTCAAGATCAGGTTTGTAACTATGTCATTTGATGTATTTTATAACAATTACAAGAATATTAATATAGAATTGTGTTAATAATTAGATAATTAATTGTATTATCTAGCTATGTCGGTATTATTTCTAAATCAAACTGTAAAACAAATAAAATAGTGTATATATAGTTGCTTTAAACTAAAATCTTAGAAATGAACTGGGTGATTAATTATCTTTACTTTTACATACGAATAGAAAATAAAAATAGGGGGTAGAATTAAAACTACCAACGATAAGACATTTAACAATACCCGAGCAGAATTACAAATACAACATCATAACTAAATACATGAATGTTGGATAACAAATACCGTGACACGTCTTATAGTAATGCAAATTCACACTCAGCAAAACAGTCATATTCGGGAATAGGTCATGTTCGGTACTTAAAAGACCAGACGACGTAAATGGTAAAACATAATCTAAGACGTGTTAAAAATGTCCTTAGTTAGTTTAGACATAGACACATCGTATGGATCAACCAATTCGTGATGGTGTCCATAAAATTTACGGAGTGTCATTTTTAATCTTTCCTCCTCATAAATTTGTTGGATCAGTTTTTGCGTAAGGAGCACACTCCTTTATATGAAGTCCGTATAGGGTGAACATGCAAGAGCATAACGTATCAACCTAGATATGTTAACACCATACGATTCGGCAGAGGGTATGTTACTGCTGAGCAATGGGAAATTGATAATTGGGAAGTTGAAATCGTCCCGTTTGTCATAGATTTTAGTGTGAAGTCGTACATCTGTGTCAATATTGAGGAAAAGGTCAACGTATGAAGCAGTCCTTCTAGTATCGGTAGTATCCTTAATTTCGAGTTCACTGGGATATATGAGATGTAAGTATTGGCTGAAATTTGGGTTATTCAGTGAAATATGGGTTATTCAGTGAAATATGGGTTATTCAGTGAAATATGGGTTATTAGCCAATAAAGGTTTAGATGCTGTCAATATTAGCAATATTTTCCATCAGAAATCTGTACAAAAAACTATACCTGATTACGTCAAAAATAAAGCTACACCTGTTATTTCTTATACTTACACCAAGTCTATTGCATCTAAGATTTTCAACCACAAGAGAGTTTTGGAGGCCTTTAACCTCAAAGATGTGAAATCCAAGCCTCCGGATTGCTCATGTGCATCGTCACAATACAAGTATAGTCCAGCTTGTCATGTTATTACTGGTGACCTTGGCATCGTTACCAATGAACAACTTAGAGAGTTGTTAGCCAAGGGACCAAAATATAGAATTCCCCAGCCCATCAACTGGAAAACGAATTTCAAGTTACTGATGGATGCAGTTGAGGACTATGCAAGAAAATGGGTAAAGCGCGAACCAGACAAACCAGAACTGGACACTTTGTCTGAATGGATCAAAGCTATTCGATCATGCATTCAGAAGCGCATTCAAAAACTACGATGCAATATGAGCACAAGATTTACTTACCCTTTCAAAAATCCGGATGTTGTGGATGCTTTATCCTCTTTGCATGACAAATATGTCGTTGTTCCAGCAGATAAAGCCTCCAATAATATTGTCTTCATATGTAAAAACCATTATTTGCAATGTCTCACAACAGAGCTTGGAATAAATAGAAATAATGGTAACCCTACATATTCTTTAACATCATTTACCAAGGACGAAATTTTACAAAATCACAAATCTGTCCTTATTTCTTTTGGTATCAACATCAAAGAAAACGAAGAAAATTTACCATCATTATACTAGATACCAAAACTACACAAAAATCCATATAAAGAACGATACATAGCTGGGTCATCAAAATGTTCGATTAAACATCTTTCTAAAGTACTGACTACTATTCTTTCTACAGTTAAAGATGGGTTTCAAAAATATTGTGATGAGATATATTCTACCAGTGGTGTTAACCAGATGTGGATTCTCAAATATTCGAAAGATCTACTGCTTAATCTTCGATCACAATCTTTGCAATTTTGCAGCAACATAAAGACTTTTGATTTTTCTACGCTTTACACTACTATTCCCCATGCTCAGTTGAAAGATCGACTTCACCATCTCATTAAACAGAGCTTTTTCTATAAAAATGGGAATCGTAGATACAAATTTCTTGTTTTGGGTTACAATAATTCATATTTTGTGAAAAACCACACTGAATCTACCAGAAAATATACCGAAGATTATACTATCAATATGCTGGACTTTTTGATCGACAATATATTTGTTGAGTTTGGAGGATTTATATTTCAACAGACAGTCGGTATTCCAATGGGAACTTATTGTGCACCCCTACTGGCCGATTTGTTTTTGTACTCGTATGAAGCAGAATTCATTCAGAACCTTCTAAAAGACAAAAAGAAAAAGCACCTTGCGAAATTCTTTAATTTGACTTTCCGATATATTGATGATGTTCTATCATTGAATAACCCATATTTCAGCCAATACTTACATCTCATATATCCCAGTGAACTTGAAATTAAGGATACTACTGATACTAGAAGGACTGCTTCATACCTTGATTTTTTCCTCAATATTGACACAGATGGACGACTTCACACGAAAATCTATGATAAACGGGACGATTTCAACTTCCCAATTATCAATTTCCCATTTCTTAGCAGTAACATACCCTCTGTCCCTTCGTATGGTGTTAACATATCTCAATTGATACGTTATTCTCGTGCTTGTTCACACTATACGGACTTCATATACAGGAGTGTGCTCCTTACGCAGAAACTGCTCCAACAAAGTTATGAGGAGGACAGATTAAAAATGACACTCCGTAAATTT